CTGGACCATGCCGCTGCTGTTCAAAGCAATGGCCAAACAACCGTGGTGTCGTATCAGTTCCTGCATCCCCAAAGATCCAAACATCCACAAGCCATCACAAGCCATCACAAGCCTCACAAGCCTGAGTTCACCGTGTTGAACATCTGTACAAGACATCATCAGTCCTCATTGCTGGCAGAAATACATTCGCTGGTTGCCTGAAGGGCTTGACATCAAAAAAAAAGCACCATGACTATAGAACGCATTAGAATGCTTGAAATGACTGAAAACCAGGCTTGTTTAGTTCGCCTCCAAACAACACTTCACCGAATGGCCTGGGTAGCGAATGCAATACGTGGAGATGCCAGGCCAGCAAACGCCTCCCAACCCAGCCAGACGCATCAAAACATGCAACTATGAGCGAAGATGCTCAGAGCTTCACTGCAGCGCATTTCGTTTTGGCACCAGATGGTAGAAAATGCATGAAATGCTTCATGTTGCATCCAATCCTCCAAGACATTCTCCTTGATTTCTGTCATTGCCACCGGCTGCTCCTAAGTAAACTGGGGTAGAAAAAGGGAACAGAGCGCTAACAGAGTGTGAACAAAGATGGCTTGTCCCAGCCTCTACATCGAAGTCCAAGAAAGCGCTCAAAAACCCTCGCCAAGGGAAGCTGTCAGCGTGGTATGAATGGTATGATAGAGCTTGGATCCATTAAATGATTTGAATGTTACAGTAGCACAGCTCAGCAGCATACATCTGACAGATCTGATCCCACCCGGGCAGACTTCCGTGCGGCGGCCTTTGACCAGCACACAAGCCCACAATGGATCTTTCCCAACCCACCTTCAATTCGGCATTTCCGAGAACGGATTTCCGCCAGCAAATCAAACGGACAATAAAAGATTGACACAAGAAAAGTGACTATAATTTAATAATGGGCTCAAAACCTTGACACTGAAGGATTCAAGCATCTGTCTGTAATTCGTGATGCTCCAAGTTTCGAGTAGTTTTGGTACAACAAATAACCTTGAAAAAAATGCCTTCCGAATTCCTGTTCTTCCACCTCGTGGCATTTTCCATGTTCGAAGCACATAGCAAACACTCTGAGTATGCAAGCCAAAACGATTAACCGTTTGCGATTTCACATTTCACATCAGAGAAACCCGCCAGGGCCAGGTAAATTAGAGGAGATGAATCAAATGAAGATTAGTGCGGAAATTGGCTCTGCCACCAGATTGACTGCAATGGCTTCCTTCGACCATCTTCGACCAAAGGAGGTGTGTCACATCATGCTGCGTCTTTTGTTCTTACACCAAGTCACTCCCATAGAATTAGAGATGTTTGTCGGTGGCCCACAGCGTGCACAACAATTGTCACAGCCTGGAAGCAAAGCCAACTCTGCCAACAACTGCCACAGCTCTGCAATGCTCTGATTGTGTTGTGTGCTTTTGACTGCTTTTGCTTTCCGAGAAACCCACAAACAAATCGATTGCAAAGCACTTTGTAGCTCACCACTGCAGATTCCATCTGTATCAAGCCTCGCAAGGTCAACCCTGTCAACTCGATCAACTCTTGTCATCTTTTCGACACGGGTGGCATCTCTGGCCTACAGAGGCCACCGAACAGGTTGGTCGAGAAGGAATCCAGATCGATACTCAGCTGGTCGACAAAGTGCATTAAAGGGTCCTCAGCAATCAGGTCCTGCCGAAAAAAATACTTTACTTCGAGTTATCCCCACCATGACATTTATACGTTTTGTTACTGGCAAATCTTCTGGCATTCTATCTGACATATCTTCTGGCATTTTATCTGGCATATCTTCTGGCATTCTATCTGGCATATCTTCAGGCATATCTTCTGGCATTCTACCTGGCATATCTTCAATCAATATGTTCTGGCATATCTTCTGGCATATCTTCTGGCATTCTATCTGACATATCTTCTGGCATTTTATCTGGCATATCTTCTGGCATTCTATCTGGCATATCTTCTGGCATATCTTCTGGCATTCTTACATGGCATCTCTTCAGGGCCTATTTTCTGCATTCTACTGGGGCATATCTTCACTTTCAATATGTCTGGATATCTTCTTGGCACTCTATTCTGGCATTCTTGTGGCAATATTCTTTGACATTCTATTGGCTTCTATCTGGCAAATCTTATGGCATTTCCTATCTGGCAAACATTTGGCACTTTTATTGGCATAACTTTGGCAGTTCGATCTGGCATATTCTGTCTTTACTTGGCATTCTATCTGGCATATCTTCTGGCATTTTATCTGGCATATCTTCTGGCATTCTATCTGACATTCTATCTGGCGTTCTATCTGACATATCTTCTGGCATATCTTCTGGCATTCTATCTGACATTCTATCTGGCGTTCTATCTGACGTTCTATCTGACATATCTTCTGGCATTCTATCTGGCATATCTTCTGGCATTCTACCTGGCATATCTTCTGGCATATGTTCTGGCATTCTATCTGGCATACCTTCTGGCATTCTATCTGGCATATCTTCTCTTGCATATCTTCTGGCATTCTATCTGACATTTTATCTGGCATACCTTTTGGCATTCTATCTGACATTCTATCTGGCATATCTTCCGGCATTCTATCTTGCATATCTTCTGGCATTTTATCTGGCATATCTTCTGGCATTCCATTTGACATTCTATCTGGCATATCTTCTCTCGACCTCCCCATCTATCTCGCATATCTAGCATATCTTCTGACATTCTATCTGGCATATCTTCTGACATTCTATCTGTCATATCTTCTGACATTCTTTCTGACATTCTTTCTGGCATTCTATCTGGCATATCTTCTGACATGGCAGTGTGTCAAAACCTTGTACCCCTGGTGAACATCAAAATAGCTGGTAAATGGATGTTCATCCCCCTAAAAATGGTATGTATAGGTATTGATCCATAGCCACATCTTTTCTGACATTCTTCCCGTTGAGGTCCGGCAGTGCCCACTGCGATCTGGAAGTCGCGGTTGAGGTCCGGCAGTGCCCACTGCGATCTGGAAGTCGCGGTTGAGGTCCGGCAGTGCCCACTGCGATCTGGAAGTCGCGGTTGAGGTCCGGCAGTGCCCACTGCGACCTGGAAGTCGCGGTTGAGGTCCGGCAGTGCCCACTGCGATCTGCAACTCGCGGTTGAGGTCCGGCAGTGCCCACTGGGATCTGGAGCTCGCGGTGGAGGTCCGGCTGTGCCCACTGGGATCTGGACTGCGAGGAGGAGGCGGCGGGTGAGGAGGCGGAGGAGGCAGAGGAGGCGGAGGAGGCGGAGGAGGAGGAGAACAGCTCTGATAAAATCTAACAACCCTCACCTGGCAGGTGGGGAAAAACTAGATGTCAAACAGTACATGTATGGATGGCCCAGGTAGTTTTCGGCTGCCAATGCCAAGGTTCATCAACCGCATCCTGAAGCAATGGCGCCAAACGTTATTCGGTATGCAAAACCAAGTTTGAAATATTGGAGTTTGAGTCCTCATGGATTCTGTGGATGCTAACGCAACCACATACCGCAACATACCAGGTTCCGGTAAGGCGCCCACTTTGTTCCCCAGAAAGGCTGCAAAAGCTGCCAGAGATGCAGCAATTGCTTTGGCCACTGCGATGCCAGCGCCCCAGCTGTCCTGCACTTTGTGCAAGAAAATGGGTATGACACAAGAATCAACGTGGAACAATCGCATCGCACATAGAGACTTGCATTAGAATCAGTCAAGAATAAGAGCCTTTAATAGCGACTGAACATACCCAGCTGATGGCAAATAATGTTTCATCACCACCACCAGCAGCAGCAGCACCACAACCACCATCACCAGCATCGAAACCACAATCATGAGAGTAAGAACAATAACCGTAACAGCGGCTATAATGACAACACAAAATGATACAATGTAACAACAATAATAGAACAAATACATCATCATGACTCTTATTGTCATTGTCGTCTTTGTCGTCATTGTCAATGTCACTGCCATTGTCATTGTCATATTTGTCATCGTCGTCATCGTCGTCGTCTTCCTCCTCGTCGCCGCCGTCGCCGTTGCCGTCGCCCTCGCCGTCGCCGTCGCCCTCCTGCTCCTCCTCGTCGTCATCGTCGCCGGCTTCATCGTCGTCGTCCTCCTCATCAAGGTCGTCGTGATCGTCGTGGTCGTGCTCGTCGTTGTCATCGTGGTCATCGTCGTGGTCATCGTCGTGGTGGTGGTGGTGGTGGTGGTGGTGGTAATGGTCGTCGTCGTCGTCGTCGTCGTCGTCGTCGTCGTCGTCGTCAGTCATCAGTCATCATCATCACCATCATCATCATCATCACCATCATCATCC